TATGTTGTAAAATGTTGTATGTCTGTTAATGTTTCCCTCCTTTTATCCTTAAAATAAAAAAAAATAAAAAATAAAAAAAAAATAAAAGAGAGGGGCTGGGGATTTAGCTCAGCGGCACAGCGCCTGCCTGGCAAGCGCAAGGTCGTGAGTTCGGTTCCCGGTACCAGGAAAAAAAAACAAAAAAATAAATAAATAAAATAAAATAAAAAAGAGAAGTAAATATGCAGTTATTTCACCATGATCACTTTATCAAATAGTTATACAGAGTCTGCCCAAAAAAATGCATGTACACTTCAGGAAAAGAAAAACTTGCATAAATATTTTAATACTAAATTTGTTGAGACATCATGAGATTAATACAACTTACCTTTTGCCTCTGTAATTACAAGAGGTTCTCAAAGTGGTGGTCATTAGCATCCAGACATTTATTAGTACAATGAGCTGCTGCTTGAGATCCTTGAGATTTCTGCACATGCATTTTCAAGTTCTTCTCTAATGGCCAGCAATGTAGTAGATTTTCTGCATATGAGGGTAACACCATCTGTTGAAAAAACATCCTACTACTATTCCTTTCCCGAAGTGTATGTACATTTTTTGGGCAGGCTCTGTATATATAAATTCACATTTCATAACAATAAAGGGAGAAGGAAACATGAAACAAAGTATGTCAGCTGTGTAGACAGAATACTCAGCAAAGGAAATTAAAGCTTGAAGCAGTAGAACCATTTGATATAGATGGTAGAACCTTCTGTTGAACTTTGCATGTGCTGGCGCTCTGCCACTGAGCCCTTCGTTCCTGAACTTGGCACCACACATCTATCTAAAATGACAAAAGGGCCTTATAGTTTTTTCTATTATAGAAGTGATCTAAGTTTGTTGTAGAAAATTTGGGAAATATACAAAAAGCATGAAATGATAAGTTACCTCTACTCCTACTGCCCAGGAGGAAGTGCTGGTAAAAAGAACGTAGTGATCCACAATTACAAAGCCCAGAAGGACTCAAAAAAAAACAAAAAAAAAAACCTGGAAGTTTTCCCCAAGTTTGTAGCAAATCCATCTGGCAGCAAAATCCGACCTGACCTCACATGGAGCTGGTCTGTTTTTCTCACTGTATCATAATACCACGTTTTGCTATAGAAATATTTGTGTAGTTACTAGAAAGCACTGTTGCAGGCAGCACTGGAAATGCTAATTAATACTCAGAAGGTGGGCTGCGTTGCTTTTGTAAAAAGTCTGTGAATCTGGAATTCTGGAACACACCTGAAAAAAGTTTCTGGATAAAATATTTATCCATTTGCCATGATGAAATAGTAAAACTCTGTGTATCATTCCTATCATTCCTTATAGGAAATGTTTTCATAATTGTTTAAAAATTTTGGCCCTTTCACAATATCTATTGTACATTTTGGGTTTTATGTACTCTTTTGGGTACTTACACTAGTATTGCTGATGTCTAATGGTTTATTGAAAGGAACAGTTAATGCTTAAATTTTTGGACCAATTTTGCATGCTTCTATCTGGTAATCTGAACAACTAATTTGAAGACAACAATATACAATAGAACAACCATTGGTGAATTCCTACCATCTTGTCTAGTGAAGCTCTGTATCATTTCTAACTTTTTTTAAATTATTCTTTATTCTTTTTAATGGTTTGATCCATCTTGCATTCTTGCATCTGGTAATCTGAGCAAATTCATTGAAGGTAACAATATGTAATGTAACAACCACTATTAATCCCTATCATCTTGTTTTGAAACCCTGTAATTTTATTGTTTTTGCTTTGTTTTGTTTTTGTCTATGTTGTTGCTATTTTATTTTTTTATTCTCTTTAAAATTAAAAAAAAATTTAAAGTAAAAAAATTTTTTGACCCTATGCTATTTAACATTGTGTGGCTTTTATTTTTCCATATTATGCAATAGTTTTCTAAAGAATAACTTTAGTAGTTGCAAGATGTTTCCTATTATAGATTTTTATGTAATCTCTTAATATAGTGTTGGTGGTGTACTTCATAACACAACAAAATTATACAAGGCAACGGTTAATCTTGCACCTTGACGTATAAATGTATCAGCAATTTAAATCCTACCCAGTATAATTAGCATTATTCTGCAAACCCAAGGAGGAAAGTAGCTTTTTTAATGCTTAAACCATAAAAGGATAGTAAACTTAAATTCACCAGTGAGCCAAATTTCTTCTTATAACAAACTGATTGGCTAAACTAGATATGTATGATAGAACATATTTCACTTTTCTCCTATCTCAGTGAAGCTCTCATGTAATCATATATTTCTCTGATGGTGTTCTGCCAATCTGAAATTTGTGTTTCTGCGCTGTAGCAGGATGGGATTCACAGCAATGCTTAGGCTGAAGGGGTGGCTCTGTAAGAACTGAAATGCTCTATGAATCAGCAGATAGATTCCATGGAATGACATCTTAGCTCATCATCCTTACTGTTTGGAAATAAATATGTATACATGGCATACCTCATATTTCTTAGTTATCTAAAATATATGTGTATGTCATTATGTTTTTCAATAACACCAATACTGGATTAACTAAATGCTTTGTTCTCTATAGATGATTTCATGATGAGACCTATTTCTTCTAGGGTCTTCAAGGAATTCCAGGCATTCCTGGTGCCTCAGGCCCAACTGGGCCTCCTGTAAGTATTCAGGGAACTTCCACTCATAGCTCATACCTACTGGAATGATTGGAGGTGTATTAATATTCCTTGTCTTTATTCTCTGTGCTTCTGTGTAGATTGCTCAGCTGTTGCTTAGAAAAGGAGCTCATCCAACCTCTCATATTTTCACTTAGAATTATTTAAGGCTGGTGAGCATGCCAGAGACTATCACAGAATCCTTCCAGACCAGAAAGCAGTCAGTGAAAATAAGTTACTGTTTGAAATACAAATGAGATATCAAAGTGAAGTTCATTTTTTAATTATACTTTTTCGGTGCTAACCTTTAGAAAAAATATTCTGAAGGAAAAGTAAGATGAGAATTTATTTTCTAGCAGAACAAAAGTAGATCAAAGATTATCCGATTTAATGTACTTTTATTCCTATAGATGAGCTTAAAAGTGCTCTATTTTAGTTAAGGACTCTACCACGCTCCAAATATACTGTCATGGTCATTAAGACTTTGATTATCAACTTTTCCTAGAATACTGTAGAATCTTTTTTCTTTCCCCAAACTCATTCTCTTTGAGTTCAATTCTAGGATGCCAAATAAAAGACAGAACACCATTAATGTGAATTTCAAATAAATAACTCTTTAGTATAAGTTTGTCCCAGATAATGTATTTTTACTTGCTGAATCTAGCCACCCAATTTATGATTCAGTGTCGTGCTTCTCTTCTTAAAGTTCCTTTACAGAGAGAATTTTTATCACACTAATAGGATGGCAATCACAGTCCTTAATGTTTTGAGTCATGGATCTGCCGTAATTAAATTTTTATCGTGTATGCCTTTGCCACAGTATATAGAACAAACCTGGTTTTAAATTGTACAGTAAAATTAACTTATAAACAGCTGCAAAAGGGGCCCTGAAAATTATAGGCAACTTTACTCTTAAAGAAGAATTAAAATTAAATTTTATTTTTTGCTGGTAAAATACAGATCACATAACTCAATATGCACATTAATTCTGCCGTGTCTTGAAGTATTTAAAATGTTGATCACTACCAAAATTATAGCTCATTTAGGAAGGCATAATGTTATGTAAATTGCCATTTAAACAGCAAGGCTAGATTCTTAAATATATCAAAAGGTTCCAATTAAGGTCATTAAATGTGGTTAGCCAAGGTGAAAAAAGCAACCACAAATACAAATTTCACCCTTCCAAGGGCTTATCAGCAGGGTACAGCTGCTGTATCAGCCGGAAGCAATACCAGCTTGTAGGACTGACTTAATTAGGATCACATGACCTTCAAATATGTAAGTTTTCGCAACCAACCTCCAATACCTTTTGGCTATTTAGTTGTTATTTCTGCAACAAACTTAGTTTTCTGTCTTACAGGGATTAGTAGGAAGAACTGGACATCCTGGTCCTGTGGGAGCAAAGGGTGACAAGGTACAAAGAGGAAAACTCACTCACCATCTGACTTGGGGCTCTGGTTGGGGGACAATGACGCCATTTACTGAGAGGGCCACACAACCAAGCAAAGTCTGACAGTAGAAATGATGTGAGAGCGACTATCTTGTAGTGGACTTGGGAGTATGTGGTCTTCCAGTTGTTCTGACCAGTGGAGGTATGCTCCTCAGGAAGGGGCAACTAGGACATCAGCGATGTATAGCAAATGTCCAAGCTGGATTCAGAGACCTAGGCATCCAGCTATGGGTTTGTGGGTGGTTTGGTTCTGACTTCTATAACACAGCACTATGAACTAGTTGACTCACAAATAACCTCTTGTTCTCATAGTTCCAGAAAATGGAAAGTCCAAATTCAAGGCGCTGGCAGCTTTGGTGCCCAGTGGAGCCACTTTCTTAATCACAGATGGCACCTTTTAGCTGTATCTTTACATACTTCAAGGGCAACTGAGCTCCCTTGGGCTCCTTTTATAAAGGCACTGATACCAATCAGGAAAGTGGCACTTTTGTGACTTAATCACCTCCCCAAAGCTTAATCACTCCCCCTCCTAACGCATCACCCTGCAGGTTAAGATCTGTCCTATGAACTGGGGGAGGCGGGGGCAGGAAGCAAACATGTGCACTTTAGCAGGTGCTGAGGTCCCAGGAGTTTTGCTGGCCATTGAGAAAGGGACCCCAGTAACCCTGGGGCTTGCTGACTTAGTCTGGAAATTCTGCCCCTAGAAGGTCATAGGAGAAATTCAGTCAGGACCTTGTTTCCTGGGGCAGCCAGTAATTGGAAAAAATGCCTTGCTATGGTGAAATGAGAAGACGCAGTAGAGCATTATCATACAGGAAGACTTCACAGATAACCTAACTTCCCATCTAACTTGGTAGGGTCAGAAAATGAGTTAAATAATCCTGCCTATTCAGATTGGAGAACAATCAATGGTCCGAATGAGCCACTTTCAATGTCTCTCACCGCTTATCAGGCTCCAAGTTCCTTGTCCAAAATGGCACAAAGGAGCAAAAGAATCTCAACAACACTTAAAGAAAACAATGTGCTTATTCTAGATAGTCTCGGCCTAATTTTTCTGGTAATACCCCCAGGAGCGTGCCTAAGCCCACCAAGCCTCTTTTCCCTATTCTCTATGGAAATTATTCAGTTATAGACTTGCCTCTGAAGCTAGTGGGAATTCCATCTGAGAGGACACGGCTGAGACAGAATGACAGATCGTGTGCTGTCAGCGATGGCTCTCAGCAACCACAATCTGGTTTGTAAACCTGGGGTAGAAATGTCTAAGCCAGTTGATTTTGGCCTGTGTGTCTCTTGCAGGGCAGCGAAGGACCCCCTGGGAAACCTGGACCCCCGGGACCACCTGTGAGTTGTTACAGGTTTAAAGCACAACATCCGTGTGTTTGCAGATGCTTATTATATCTCTAGCTGCTCTAGCAGGTAGAAGTCTTCTGAGTTCAGTGCATTCCTGCAAAACAAAGCCAGCGCAGCTCTAGGGAGACCTGGCCTATTCCCTTTTGGTTCAGCCATCGTGTGCAGTGCTTGGATTTGCACACTCTGCGCTCCCTGCTGTGGACTCAGGGGACCTGAGTGTGTGCCCTGACTGTCCACATCCTGTCCAAGGACAGTGGGAGCATCATTTCATGTCAACCAGCCTCATTCACAGAAAATAAAAGAGCTTTAAAAAGAGATCCCCTTTGATAGTGTTCTCTGTGTTCATTCCCATCCAAGATGTCTGAGATGCAAGGAAGTGCTATTTATATAGCGCCTAGTGACAAAGTGTGCAAGAGCCATCGATATATTCATGCTGGTGATTGAGACAGATGTGCACCGTATCTGGGAGGCCTCTCTGTAAGGCAAGGCTGCCCTCCTGTGGCGCTGCCTCACACTGCAGCAGAGCTGAGGTTCAGACTCAAGGTTCTTTTCCACCCAATCTCCTAGGGCAGAATCTGACCGGCTGAAAACAAGAATGCTTCTATGCATAGTCGCACACCTTGCACACATATTAGCACTCTGTTTTCCTAAAGTTCTTCACCTTTGTTATTTACCTCCTCCCTTTCCAAGGAAGCACAAAGATACAAAAGTATTTGGAGTTCAAATTCTAAAATATACTCACTCGCTGGTAGAAAATCACTGTAATTTTCATCTACTAATTTTCCTAAATGGTAAAATGTAAGATTTTTTTGTTAAACTACAAAGTAAGTTCTCTGGAGGTGTTGATTACTCCGGCATTTTATACTTGCTTCTCAGCTTCTTAAGGAAGCTCTTTTTCCCCACTGTTCTAAAGAATGTTTTTATAGAAACATCCACACAGGATGTGATTCATGGTCATCTTCCCATTGCCTTAATTTTCCTATAGGTGTGACGAGACTGTGAAAAAATTACCTTCCAGTAGTCAAACTGTTCGCTATTCCCATGTTTGTCAGATCCATCTCATTGGAGCCTGCTGGCCAGCAGACTGTACACAGCCGAAACTGGGAATTCACAAACCGAATTTTAATGAGCAAATATTATTTCTTCTTCAAATGCATTATTAGTGTCTCATCTGCCAGACCTGAGCATTAGTCAAACCTGAAATGAAAGTGACAGTGGTTCCATGTGTGACTCGAACTCCTTTTCCTTTCCCTGTCTCTGCTTTAGAAAATCTCAAAATAGAAATACTGTGTTATTTTGCGTGTACTATTAAGTTCCTTTTCTAAAATAGCATTTCTGCCTTTTATCATTTTGCCAAACGGTGTTATTCCCATATTTTTTGGTTTTAAGAATGTAACCCTACATCTCATTTCTTTCCTAAGGGTATACCATTCAGTGAGAGAAATGGCATGAGCAGTTTGTATAAAATCCAGGTATTTACATTTGTAATTATTTAAAATAATTTCCCAGCTAGAGGTTGCTATAAATCTTTTCATTGTTCTTCCTTCTTTTCTTTTTTAAGGGAGGCATGAGTGTTCCCAGTTACCCAGGACCACCTGGTCCCCCTGTGAGTACAGCTATTAATCATCAACCACAATTTAACCAAACCATCCTAAAGGAGAAAAACTCCTAAATCCATTTAAAAATGCACATTATAAATATAGCCAAATTTTTACAGCAGGAGGAGATAAGTGAAATCAGTTATGACTTGAAAAAGAAATACACAGCCCAAATATAAAAACTGTCATTTAGCATAGTGACATTATTTTTCATTGTAAAATCTAAGGCCTGAATCAATGTCCAAACAATCATTTTCATGACTGAAATCTCATCGTTTTGAATTCTGAATCTTATTTTTCAAATCCAAACTGTAGCAAAGGCTAAATTTGCAAATATTCTTACATGTCTTAAAGCAATTTGGCAAAAGTGCTTCATATTCTGTAATTTTGCTTCAGACATTATTTTTAAAAGGACTTTTCGTGCTTTTCTTATAGGGTCCGAAAGGCGATCCTGGCCCAGTGGTATGTATGTGTTGCTTCCTAAGAAAACAGGTCATTGTTTACATTTAGAGAAAAGGCTTCCGGCAAAGATGGCCTGCCTTCCAGGTGCTCCTCAGTTAACATCTGAGGCAATGAGCAGGCGAGCAAAGAAATGCCAGCAGTGTGTTATTCTTAAGATACATTAGTCCTGATGTTGTCACTGCCCTTGAGGTTTGTCTCTTTCCATCAGTGTGTTTTAAGAATTTCCCTGTGACACAGGAAGGCACGTATAAAGCCTTTGATAGATGGAGCACTTTCTTCTAATAGCTGTCTTTTGATGATTGATTGGATTTTAAGTAGATTGTGGAAGAGAGATACTTACTGCAAAGGAATTCTTGCACCTGTCAGACAACTCTCTCCAACAACAAAAGGAAGGGACTGTTTATCTGCTTTGAACGTATTAGGCAGTTATTCTGCAGGGATGCGTGCTGTCATAAACACACTTTCTAGATGGAAAGTAGCAGGAAGTAACTGCTCAGCGAGGAAGATCGTGTCCTCCGGCAGCCCAAAGGCTGAGAATTGTTCTCAGCATCTTTCTCAACCATGGGCCCTCCCTGTGAAAGCCTGCCAAATTCAATTAGATTCCCTTTCATCCTTGGCATTTTTTTCCTGTCAAGTCCTTCTCAATGACACAGATGTCCCATCCTGTGTGTTCCATTTGTACGTCCTTTTAACCTTTGGGTGCAGACCTAAAATGAAGACTTTCAACCCACTGTCCATTACCACGTGCGAAGAGGGAAGCCCTGTTATTTCAGCACAAGTTGGCAAAATTCTGAATTTTAAAACAGCCCAGGGGCTGGGGATTTAGCTCAGCGGCAAAAGCGCCTGCCTGGCAAGCGCAAGGTCGTGAGTTCGGTTCCCGTTACCGGAGAAAACAAACAAACAAACAAAAAAAAAAAAGCCCGGGAACAGCCACCAAAAATCACTTTCACGTTTAGTTAACAAAAAAAAAAAAGCCCGGGAACAGCCACCAAAAATCACTTTCACGTTTAGTTTTAAAAGAAATGCCTTAAAGAGCAAATATTTTATTTGGCAATGGATATTTAAAATCAATGTTTTTCCAACTGAATTATTCCAATGAGGAAGTTAGAACCCAAATTGAACCCCAGATATGCACTGTAGAGTTTCATTTTGCTAGTCGTCATGCCCTTTACTTGTAATTCTTTTACTGTTGGCAGGTTATGTTATTGCTTTAATTTTCCCACAGTCTTGACTTCATCTAAACACACAGAATGACCCCTCCATCATATAGGTACACCAAGGCTTCTTTTTTGGAGCAGTCTTTTAAGTTCTTGCATTAATATTTGCACACTAAGGTGAGAAAGTTTTCTAGGTATTAAAATGAAGGCTCAATTGTAATACACTTGCCCCAGAAAGTGGCTGGCATCAGAAATGAAGACATACTTGAGTAGAATTTGAAGAGCTCAAGCTTCACAGTTCCGGAAAGAAATAAAGGATAATGAGTCAAAATTAATTAAAGTGTGTTTCCTTGGTTTTAGAGATGTGTATTGAAGGAAACCCAAAAACAGAAACATGGAATCATGAAATTATATTCTGTGTCAACATTCAGGCTTAGCCTAAAGAAAGAAACTGAAATGAGTCTCTTGTGTCCCTGTCATGGTTTGGGGCTTATTTTGCAAGGGGAAACAATATAATACAGGACACATATTTTATAAGATTATTTATAATAGTCACCCAAAGAATGATAAAAAAAAGAGTGCAGGAAATCTGTCCACAAACCATAGACCAAGGAATCTAGCTAAGGGCCTGGATCCCAAGATGATGTCCTGCATGAGTTCAGCTGAAGACATAGAGCCCATAACACTGCCTCCCACAAATCCAACTGTAGGCCCAAAGCCTACAACAACATCTCATGCAGGCCTGTCTCACAGATCTGCACTGGGAAGGCCCAAAGGTCAGTGGTGGAATCTAGAAAGTCTGTGCCAGCAGGATGAAGGATCTGTGCCAGCAGGCTGAGGTAACTACACTGGAGCAAGGAAGCAATGCTCAAAGTAAGAACTGGGAGCTCCCCTGAAAGGTACCACAGCCATCCTCAGCAACAGTGAAGTCCCGAGCTCCTCAGATGATCAAGATGGCTAAATTCCCATCAGGAAAGCTAATGCAACAATCTTCTCCAGGACACTGGCAGTGCACCTTCTTCCCCTCTGGAGCCAGGAAGCGATGCTCCAAGTGAGGACCAGAGCTCCCCAAAAGTGAACCAAAGCTGTTCTTAGTGCCAACAAGATCCCAAGCTCCTCAGAGGATGAAAACAGCCGAGTTCATCAGGAAAGCCAGCATGATAAGCTCCTCCAAAACAACCAACAGCTCCTTACAGCTTCTACCAGCTCCCAACAGCCTTTCTCAGTTCCCAACAGCTTCCTTCTCCTTCTGCAGTTTTGCCTCTTATGCTGCTGGCAACAGTCCTCAGGTGGGCCGCCCACACCCAGCACCACACTTACTCAGTTCAACTGGGGATTATAAATTGACCACCAGTTGTCAATCCACTACAGTCCCCTAGAGCATCACCAGGTAACTCCCGTCATGGCCTGTGCCATGATTATTTGTCTGATAATGAAGAAATGATAGCCCATGCCACAGAAATTAGCCAGGAGTGGGAGAATCATAGGACCAGAGTAGAAGACTGAAAAGACTTTTCGAGGACAAAGGAGAAATGGACCCTCCAAGTCCATTTGCAGACTGTCATCAGTAAACCTCTGTAGAGGAAAGTTACCCTTAATTGCATGCATCATCTTCTAAAGCAAACTGTTTCCTTTGGAATTCAATGATGTTTAATTGAAAACTTAATTATTAGCTACTTTCAAATACAGAGTGATTGACTGGGCATCTTCTGTGTCCTGAGGACTGTAGAGAATGTAAACAGAGACCCAAGAGTGACAGCCCAGGACCCTCCCAGGGCCTTCTGCAGAATGAAATCTGAACATCTTTTTTAAATTTTTGTTTTTCCTGATTGACAGGTTACATATTAGTGGGCTTAAAAGCACAGAAAGCATAGAAAATACTAAGTCATATGCTTGCTTATGAAGGCTTCTTCTGTAATAAGGAAAATATCGTAAGCAATAATGAAAGAGTCTTGGCAATATTTTTGAAGATTAGAATTGTGAGCAAAAACTGCATTTACAGAGAATAAAATTTGGCAGTTGTCCCTTCTATATGATTATGTTTAAAACACCCAGTGTGGATATTGGGAATTAACATTAACTCATAAATAAGAAAGTATCAAACAACTCTCCACTTTACATCTTTTTTATTTTTATTTTTTTAATTAAAAACAATTTTTTTACCTCTGCCTTGATTTGAAAGCCCTAATACCTCCCTGTTCAAAGTCAGCAGCCTCTTTTACCACAGTATCTCCAAATGTGTTCATTGAAGGCCTACAGGTGCCTTAGCTGGGCATCAAACACTGAATATAGAAAAGTTCTTTTTTTAAATGGAAAATGCTAATCTATCCCCTTTGAATGAGCCACTAGTTTGATGACTTTTGAAGTAGCAGCTAAAGGTGCTCCGGGGGTCATTCCCACGCCCAGCTTCGGGGAACGCTGAGGATAACAAGCTCTTCACTGACAGCTCCACTTTCCCATCCTTACAGAGTTGAGCCTTATTCTCTGGCCCTTGAGCAGCACCAAGTACCTCACAAACTGGCAAACTTTTATTAAAATCCAACCTTTCATTCTAATTCTTATTGAAATTGGAGTTTTCACTGACTAGAAGGATTCATTCTGATTACATTCTTAACCAGAAAATAATCAAAAATACACCTCTTGAGAATAAGTTTTACTCACAAACTTTTCACATTCCAAATGTAATATTACATTGCTTGAAAATAGAGCATACCATTTATTTGATAAATTCCAAATCGTGGCTGGGGAGAGTTAGGCGGTGTTGGAGGGGTAGGCAAAAAAATACCTTTGCTATTCAAATCAGTATTTAAAATCTTTTGATTATGGCATCTACATTTCCTAATGTTCCCATTTCACAGGGAGAGCCGGGTGCAATGGGCTTGCCAGGACTAGAAGGATTTCCAGGCATAAAGGTAAGCACAGAAGGTATAAATGTGTTTCTACATTCAACATGTGTATTAGTCACTTTTTCATTGCTGGGATAAAATACCCAACACCCACAACTTAAAAAAGGAGAGGTTTATTTCGCTCATGGTATCAGAAGTTTCAGTGCATGGTTGGCTCACCCCAAAGCACAGTGGAAGGTCATGGTAGAAGAATGCTTCTCACTCCATGGCGGCCAGGAAACGGGATGAGCCAGGCACACAAATACATCCTTTCAGATTACGTCCCTGGTGATCCACCTCCAACTCATCTCTGGGCATATCCCCTGATGAGTACAGCACCCTGTGATCCACTGGCCTTCCCAAAGCCCTGCCTCTGAGTACATGAGACTTTGGAGGACATTTTAGATTTAAACTGTAACATTCAAAAATACTTACTAATTTCCTACTGTTGGGCTAGGAACTGTTTTAGATTGGGGATACATAAGGGAACAAAATAGGCAAAATTCTCTGGTCACATGGAACTTATATTTTAGCAAGGGGGTTCAAAAACTAGAAGAATAAATATAAAAACCAAACAATATTCTTGATAGATACTATGGAAAGAAAGAAAAAGGACAAGTTAAGGTGGATCAAGAGTGATTGAGTGACAGGGTTGGTTTTGTGATTTTTATTTTTCTATTTTTTTTTTACTTTTGGTACCAGGAATCGAACTCATGACCTTGTGCTTGCTGGGCAGGCACTGTGCCACGGAGCTAAATCCCAGGCTTGGTTTTGTGATTCTCAAATAGGATGTTTACAAAGGCAAAATCTAAGCAAAGACCTGAGTAAAGTGAGGGAAATGTAGCCAAGTCCCATCAAGTTTGAAGGAGGAGTGTTCCAGGCCTGGGGGATATAACTCACTGGTAGAGCATTTACCTGGCATGCAGCATGCAGGAGGCCCTTCAATTGTTAGCACTGAGAAAAAGTTCCAGGAAGAGGGTATAGCAGATATGAAGGCCCTAAAACATGACATTTCCTGCTAGATCCAAGGAGACCAGGGGAGGAGTGAGGGGACGGGTAGCAGAGGTAGAGGCAGAAGCAAGGAGTAGCCTCACTGAGTAGAAAATACTGTTCCGCTGTGAAAAGCAGAGGACCATGCTAGTCTACAGATCTTTGTCATGGGCTCTGTGGTAAGGGGAGTACAGGGACTGAGAGCTTACTGCTAGGACTTGTCCAGTAATTTGTCTAGCAACTATTTGATCAGTAGATTTATCTTGGTTTGTGATGCATTAGAAAACCAATAAATCAACAGCTCTTTCACCACACAGATAGTGTGAGAAGCACTAATAAAGAGGCTCATTAGCCACCGTCAGGACGTTTTCCTTCACTGAGTGAAATGCAAGGCCACTGGTGGTTTCTGAGTGGAGCGGCAGAACCTGCAGGGGAGGCAGTGGTGTGAGCAGAGAAGCCAGCAGGATGTGGGGGCTGAGTCCAGAAATATTCCCAGGTTTATGGCCTGAGCACCATAGCATGATGGGATGGATACTCATTGTTGAACATGGAGAAGGCCATAAACAGAACCTATCTGGAGGAAGTGAGGTTGACCAGGAGCTTTTGCTTTGGACATGAGGCCAAATCTGAAGGTATCTATGAAAGAGTGCAGAGGTAGCCAGCAGACAGTTGATATCAAGGCATATAGTTTGGGAACAGAAGTCTCAATGGAGATGTAAGTATGGCTGTTCTAAGTGTACAGATGCTGTCTTACACCCAGGAAACTGGGTAAAAGCACCAAAAAATGATAATGGATTATTTTTTAAAAAGAAAGGGGTGAAGGACTGAATCGTACAGTTCTCCAACATTAAGAGATCAAGAAGAAAAGCAAAAACTAGGAAGCAAGAAACTAAGGGAATGATAAGGAGCCAACAAAAGAAGGAGAAATTAGGGAGTGACGGAGGACATAGGATAAAAGCTTAAGTGTCCAGGAAGCCAAAAGAATAGTGAGTCAGAAGAGCCTCGTATCAGATACTGCAGACTGGTGGTCAAATAGGATGGCGAAGTATTGACCACTGGATTTGGCCAGGTCGTGGATGGCCTTGACCAGAGAAATCATCACTGTCTCACTGTACTGGTAAGAGAAAATGCTGGACTTGAACAGATTTTCAGAGAGAATGGGGTGGGGGTACAGAGACTTAAATCCAACATAAACAATGCTCAGAGAGTTTTGCTGCAAAGAAATGGGACAACGGATGCTGGACAGAGTAAGGGCAGGTTTTATAGAATGGATTTTTTAGACTATAGAAATGCCGTTCTGAAGGAATAATCCAATAGAAAGAGGGAGGGTGAGGACGAGAGGGGAGACCTGCTGAAATTATGTTTTCAAATAAGAGGAAAGGGGATCTAGTGCATAAATGCAAGGTCTGGGTAAGTGGGGGAGAGCACAATACAGAAGGACAGATGCTAATATGTGGGAAGATATATTGCTTGGAATCTACAAAAGTTCTTTTCTGATTACTTAAATTTTCTCAGAGGTGGAAGAAGCAAAATCACCATCTGAGAGTGAAGTAGGGAAAGTGGTTAGAGATTTAAGAAGGAAGTCCTATAAGAGAGATAAGGAGATAAATAAGGAAAGAGGGAGAGGGAGGGAGGAAATGAAAAGGGAAGAGAAAGGAGAAAGAGAGGGAGAATGGCTGGAAAAGAGGGAGAGAAAGAGAAAGAGAGAGAGAGTGTGTGTGTATTAAGAGTTCAGGAACCAAAGAAATGTGACAGAAGGCAGCTCCACAGGCGCTGTTGAAATCAGTGTTCATGAACTGAAATGAGACCCGCCGTCAAGACTATGTGTGTTTCTCCAGCCGTGCATAGGCTTTCAGGTAAAGGTACAGACCAGTAGGGAAGTTAGATTTAAATATGTTCTGATTTTGACAAATGAATACTAGAATCAAGAATGGAACAAGTGAGTTCATGGTGCACCCAAGGAAGATAGGATAACTAGGAGCTGCAGAATTTAAGCCAAGCAATGGAGAGAGGCCATCCAGGGAACGAAAGATAATGAAAACTTTGTGCCGTCAATGGATTAGAGCGCTTGAGGTCCAAGGTCCTGGAGGGAACAAGTCGTGACGGGAAATGGTGATCCAAAGTTGGAATGCATGAACTTGAGAATCTGGAGGGGGTGCCGATATTTTTTTTTATGAGGTTGCAGAAGAATCTATGAGAAATGAGATAAGATCATTTAGAGAAGAGTGATTCAAGGAAGTGACCTGAACACTGGGGGAGCCATCTTGTCAAGTTCTTTTAACATTAATCTTTATCAAATATGCCAAGGGTTCCAACTAATGGAAAGTTCTAGTACACTTAAACAGTTCCATAGTTTAAAGGGGAATAAAACTGATGAGAATTACCTGTGTATATCTTCTGCCCATTTTTCAAGATTTTTTTAATTGACACCATAATAATTGTACATAATAATGGTAAGGGTATCATATGATGTTTTCATACATGTATATAGTATATGAGAAAATCAGGGCTATTAGCCAAAAAATAATCATAACTTCAGACATTTATCATTTCTTTGCAGTAAGAACATTAAAAAAAAAACCACACTTGGGGCCATTTTGAAATGTACAAGACATTCTTGTTAACTGTAGGCGCCATATAGCACAATAGAACACCAGAACTTATTTCTAAATGTAACTTTTCATCCATTAACCAACCTTTCTCCTTCTTTCCACCAACTTCCTCTCCATGGATTCTAGTCATATCTACTTCCTTGGGATCAAGGTTTTTAGATACGTGTGAAATCATGCTATATTTTTCTATTAGTTTTTTTTCTTCTTGACAGTACCTATATTTTACAAATTTGATGTATTATTTTTGTCTCATATTTTGGAGCTTTATCGAACTGGTCTTTGCCCTTTATTTTTATATTTAATCATCCTATAAATATAACTTTCAGTTAAATCTAAGACTATGTCTTTACGATTACTTATTTTGCTTTTACCTACAAATGCAGTGTGCTTGCATTTTCAACCAAGATCAATAGTCACTAATGCATTCTTCTAGCTCTTGTATGTTTATTTCTTACATTAATCTGTATGGCATTTACCTGGAATATAGACAGGCATCAAACTTTTCCAAGGAAGTTATCCCACCATGAGCCCTGTTTGTAAAATGTTGTACCCATTTCTTTATTAAAGTCCTATTACAAATGCTGGACTATCTCTGAGATTTAAATCTTACTGCATTGATACACTACTTAACTTTATGCCCCTTTCCATCATCTCTATTACTATAGCCTTATATGTTTAATATTGATATTGCTGATATCTATTATTCTTTATTTTCTTTTACCCTCTCTCATTCATTATCTCCAGAGAACTTTAATATCTTTTGCTCAAACTGCAGTTTTGTAAGAATTGCATTAAGTTTATAAATTAGTTTGGGTAGTGACATCTTTACAGCACTATTGTATCCTCCAAGAACACAGTATATATCTTCATTCAATCAAGTCCTCTTTTATGTAAGTTATGAAGCTTTTTAATGTAGGTCCTGCCCAACAAAATTGCCATTTTATTATCCTATATATAATCATCAGTATTTTTAGCAGTGTCAGCTTTACCTAAAATACCATGCTTCCTCTTGAAAAGGAGTTGTTTTTCAGAACACTTAATAGAATATTCTGATTAGTCAAATGAGGAGAACTAGAACCTTTTGTTCTAGATCTTTGCAGTCTAATTATATCCAATGAGGATATAAATGAGGATACAAAAAAATATTTTTTAAATGAAAGCTTTTTAGAAGATACTCAAGTATGATTGATCTTTCAAGTAAGAATAATGGACGAATTTTACCTATATGTATGGAGTCTTATTAAAAATGAGTCACAGATGGCATGCGTGCTATTTTTCTATGGGTGAAAAAGTTGTACTCGTTCAGTTATTTTCCTGTGCAGCTTCTAGATTCATGACAGCTAAGATTGATCACTTTTATCAGATCCAAAGAAAAGCTTCCTAAATTCAAATAATTATTTGAGTATTGGCTTTATAAGGTTTTACAGATATTCCAAGTAGCTGTTTTTATTTTAATCTCAACAGGGAGATCGAGGCCCAGCAGGTCCCCCAGGAATAGCTGGAATATCGGTGAGTTCAAATGATTTTACATTTTTTTTGCAGGTGACTGTTTTCCTCTCCATGATAATCCTCTGGCCGAGGACCAAGAAGGCCTGGGGAGCACATTATAACTCAGTGACATTAGGTTCCTGGAGCCTACAGTTTAAAAATAAAACCACTGCACCCCTCCTAATTCAAGAAAACGCTATTCTTTTCACCTTATTCTTATTTTTGTCTTTTATTTTTCCTTTCCAAGTCACTTTGGTGGTGGGAGGGAGCCAGCTACCCTTGCCTGCGTATTAATAGGCAAGCACAGTTCTGAACCGCTTCTTAGTCTTCAAAAGGCAGAACTCTCATCCCTGAGCGTGTGCTTCAAGTTGCTTCTGTGACACTGCACTCTGCCCGAGCCACCCCTAAGCCCAGCGCTATTAGGAGAGCATTACTGTGGCTAATGTCACCTCATAAACTGGCCTGCAGTCCCCTCAATCATTTTTGTTGCTCTCTGGTGTCAAATGCTTTAATCTCATCAAGGTCTTTCCAAATGAATAGGAAGGGCTTTGGGAAAGGTTGAAATCATTTTTCTGAGCCCTGGGGATCATTCTGATCTTTATCCATGATACTATAATTAAAATTCTGTGGTCATGCGTTATGAAAAAGTGGCCATTTATCCTCTTGCCAGGCGCACTGCAGGGCAGGTTCAGGATAGGAGTGGAGAAAAGTCAGTGGAAACCAGGTGTTCAAGTCACAGGAATGTGAGAGCGATAAGAAAGTGCCCCATGATCACCACCCACTGACACCTACGCACACCCAGCCGCACCCAAACCCCAGCCAACCCTCATCCCTTACGGGGCAGTAGCTACTGCACTTCTCTTAGCTGTCAAGTCAGATCACAAAAGGTAAAAATCTCATCCATAAGCATATCTTTCATTAAAAATGACATCCCTTTACTTAACCTGTCTGGATCAAGATAAATATTTCTATGACTGTAAAAGTAACACGAAACTATTGTCTTTAGCAAGAACTTCAGAAGGTTTTGTTTTGTTTTACTGAAAAGATTCCTCTTGAAAGCCAACAATAAAGTGAACCCCATCCCCAACCCTCGCCCCTTTGCACTTCCATACAAGGCAACGTGTTTGGGACTCTGCTTCTGGAATTGCCTTCAGAGCACCTTTGTAATCTTTTCCTCCTGAATTTACATCCTGCTTTTCTTCCATGTGATATAATCAAGTTGAATTTCCTACTGTATTTACCAGGGTGTGGCCATAAATGACTTTTTGCTGTTACCCCAAATTGTCTTTCTTCAAAGAGAAAGTACTGTATACCTGTGAAAGTATTGCAGATATGTGGGACAGTCTCCAAAGGCAATCCAAATGAGATGTTTGAAACACATACACACACAAACACACACACACACACACACACACACACACACACACAAAGTACTGGGGATTGAACCCAGACCCTTCGCAATGAACTACATCTCCAGCCATTTTTCATTTTTCAGATTTTGATGTAGGGTCTCATTAAATCACTAGGTTTCCCAGGCAGAGCTCAAACTTGAGATCCTCCTGCCTCAATTTCAATGGGTGCTGAGATTACAGACATGCACCACCATGCTCAGATCCAATGATAATTTGGGGGTGTGTAGCCTGATTGAAAAATGAGCTAGCCTGTCATCTATTTGGATACTTAACATCTGATAATTTACATAAAAAGCAGCTTTCATATTTTATAATTGAGATCACTAACTGACACAAATAGGGAGGGGTACAATTTTTATAAACTGCCATTATATAACATAATTAAAAATACACCTTTATTTTTATAACTGTACCTAGCTTACAGTGGCTCAGAAAGTAAAATGATTAAGTAGTTCTAGAAATAGATAATGATACTGGTTACATGACAGTGAATGTATTCACCCACTGAACTCTTACACTTAATAATTTAAGTGGTAGGTTTTGTGCTATATATGTTTTATTACTATAAAAAATTTAGATGATTGTTGTATTTGAAGTAGGGTGGAGGCTTCCACACTTCAACACACGCCCACTCAGCTGAGGTCCAAGAGCCAGTTCAGCTCTTCCTAGAACAGACCAACTCTCCAGTATGTTCAAGGGAACCCAGGGACCCCCCCTTGTCCCAAGGCGTCACATGGGTACAGGGGTAGTAGCAGACAGGCTCTGCCAGCACGTTCTCCTCCTGCTCCGCCAGAGCCCCGTGACTTTTGCGACTGTCACTGCCTTCCATCAGTGTCCATAGTTCCTTTGTTTGGTATCTCAAGGCACCAATACGCCATTCACCCATGTCCCATGCCAGGCCTCCTCGCACATTGACCTTCTCAGCTCTCACATCTCCCCCAGTGTGGGCCCATAGAGACTTCAGGAGCTCCTGAGGGAGCCAGGGGTGCTGCCTCACGCCTGTGTTTAACTTCACCACTTAGCCAGCTCTGTACCTGCAGGAGGTCTCCTCCCAGACTTTGCCCAGCAAGTGGAAAAAGTCTGTTCCTTTTCATGTCAGTCTTGCCCCATACCACATCCCCCTCTGGTCTGTTGCACCCAACCATGGAGGTCCAAGGGGTGGGAGGTGGTTCCTTGCAGCAGCCTTGTCTGGACACTTAGCAGCTCTCTACCCTCAGCCTCTGCTGGATCATCACTCCCTCATCCTTCCCTGTGGTCTCTGCTCCAGGATCTCCCCTACGTGCTGTCCTTCATGCCCCAGTGTACTAAAGGGAACCACTCTTTTCCTCTCCTTTCAACAAAATAGGCTTTTTCAAGTCAAATGTGTTTTCCCAACCATCTCACCATAAACATAAGAGTCCTCTTGTGAAACTCAACGTCTTGGAAGATCTCTTTGACCATCTATGCCATTCTTCCCCAGACAGTAAAGAAGAGCTACCAGGGAAAAAAAGGCACGAGAGGGATTTCCAGCAATGTGGACACCTTGGCTTAACCTTTTCAAAAATATCTGCTGGCCCTACCCCTCCACCTCCATGGGAACATACATTCAGAGCACTGCACTCTGGCTGGGCTTTGTGGGCTGCAGTATGTACCCCAGACTCTGTCCATGAGGGGTGCCACTCCAGAGAGCCACTGCCCTGGTAGCACTTTGATCTCATGGAAGTGGAGGAGATGCATGTAGCATCATTCAGTAATTTACCTTCTAACCTTTCTTCCTCTTTGATTTGCTTTCCCAGGGAAAACCTGGTACCCCAGGGCCGCCGGGAGTCCCAGGGGAACCGGTAAGTTGTCAGTCACTGTCACAACCCTTGTATCTGTGCTGTACTTATATGCAATCTCAAACCATCCTTTGGCCATTAAATTTTCCTGTGGACATATTCGTAGGGTGAAAGAGGACCTGTTGGAGATATAGGTTTCCCTGGACCAGAAGGACCCCCAGGAAAGCCAGTAAGTACTTTTTACTGTTTGAAATCTGCTGCTGTGAAAGTTTGAAGCATTACCTCTTCCCCTGTATCATTAGAAGCTGTGACATTTGAATAAGAACTTTTGAAAAAGAACAGGTTCTACAAATAGATTTAGAGGGGCATGTGTGCGGGTTCTTATTCAATTTCTTAGAACTTTGTGCGCTGTGTTTGCCTTAAACAGTGGTTAAAAGGGTAAGGTTTTTAAATACCAGGAAAATAGACACATTATTTTTTAAGAGTAATATTCTGAGCAGAATTATAAAATGCCTGCTCACATCCTAAAATATAACACACAATGCCTGATGCCCATTAATTGAAGGAGGAAAGCTGAGACTCCGGGGTCCACAGACCCCAGGCAGAAAGGGCATGACAGAGAGGCTCGGCAGGAGAGAACCGCTCATGCAAGGCAGTCAGGAATCCGAGACAGAAGGGGCAATTCCGGGAGAAGAGCCACCTTTCAGGTCACCCCCTAGTGACCCTCCTCTAACCAGGCCACCTCGTAACAGCACACTCAGCCACTGGACTCACCAGGGGACGAATCCATTGGTCATCACAACACCCTCCAATTGATCACCTTCCAAAAGCTCCACTTCTTAACATGGGGCTTTGGGGATACATTCCAGATCTAAACCATAGCAAGAAAGAAACCAGATTCACAGATGTAATACCTGCGTGTTAAGCCAAAGTAGAAGTTATATTCTCAAATTCCCTCCTTGGCCTCGTTCTTACACTTTCATAAATCAGTGGTACCAATCCCCTCGTGTCCTAAATGCGCCCTTGGCTACTGATATATATTACTGGCGTGCCATCCTAATAATCGTTCGTATTTAGTTCTGCTCCGCATGCCTTCATCCAGTTCCGCTGTTTGCCAGGGCTGCACCGGGCCCCGAAGGAGGGGAAATAAAGAGGAATCCAGCGCCACCGGCAGGTGGCTCCATTTCTGGTTTGTTTGCTGTAGTGTGGAGGGGAAGGTTAGCGCTCTAGAGAGGAGGAAGACAGAACGCAAATATGCTGCACAGAACTCAGCTCCGCACCTCTGAGAAGCCTCAGGGTTGGTGTATTCTCTAGGTACTCTCTCCCCACAGTCAGCGACAAAAAGGATGGAAATCTTATGCAATTGAAAGTCAAAAGATCTGGGTCTGGGTTAAGACCCAGAGGGTTCCATGAGTCAGTTTAGTACCACAGGTGAGAGAATTTCCAGTACCTGACCACAAGAAATGCCCAGTAAATACTCATTTCATTCCCTGCCTCTCCTTCACCTTCCCTTACCAAATCCCCAGCCCATATTCCTATTAGCTAAGGATGACCTCTGAAAGCTGAGGGGCTGCTTGCGTTCTGCCGTCACATATTATGTTAGAACATACACCAGCAGCTGCGCAGATGCAGGTGCGGTGTAGGAAAAGCTGGTTATGTCCGAGTATAGGGTGCAGCCAGGTAAGTAAGATTTGTGGAAAGAGAAGCAAATGTATATGAGTGATAAAAATCTCTGAAAGCAGGACTCCCTATGGGTAGAAAGTAATACTTTTATATACTTTGTATATATACTTTTATATACTTTATATATATACCTTATATATATACTTTTATATAAGGAGGATGTTCATGATAGTCTTTGATAGAGACAAAAAATGGTTATAAGGTTCTTTTCCAATATTATTACCAAAAACATGAATTTTATTTGTATGCTTATCTTCTTTTATTCATGCCAATTGTTTCTTTTACATCCTTTTCTTATTCAGCTTTACCTTGGTTGCTTGTGTTCCTGGATATAAGAAATTCTTTGAACCATACAGTTCAGGGAATATGTTCTTAGTTAAAGTCCTCTAGATAACTCCCAGGATATCTCAGAGAGGTTGGGAGACTGTGTTTGGGTTATCAGCTGTGACAGATTTCAGGGTAATTTACAGCAATAAAATCATGCAGCTGTCTGCCATTCCAGCCTCACAAATCCATTCCAGCACAATAAAAGTCTCTTGGGCTTTTCAGAGAGCATGCCCATGCAACTGCCTGCAGGCAAAAACACCACATTCCTCACTTTGATCTTTCTCTTCAAATCAAATCTCAGAAATACATCTGCTGTTGGGCCCTGGGTATTTGACTTGATCCCAAGTACTATCCCTTCTTACATCTCCTGGCCAATAGTTCTCCCAGTCTTACAAATCTCCAAGCAGGGCTAGGCTTTATTACCACTTCCAGAACTGCCTTTTAAAGTTCAAGAAACTTTCCATTCTCTTATAAAAAGACACTACTTAATACTCTCACAAACCATGATTACAGATGTCTGGCTTTCCTTTCATATTTTCCAGCTGAAAAATGACAGTTGTTCTCTCGCTGACAATTTATTTCATAGTTGCACAGGCTCTGGCCATCTTATGCAATTCCCCCCAGCAGCAACTGAGACCATTTACTAAGTAAGAATGGCTCTATGCTGTATGCTGGAAAATTTGTTCGAAGGTCATAAAAATGCCAGGCCCCGGTCAGGTAATTCTCTGGGGTCCCTTCTTATCTCCGGAAGTAATTCTGATCATAGATGAGGTAGAGGAAGTAACTTTTGGTGGCTACTGACACTGGGCTGTTTTTCATGTTATCTTACTTAATCCATAGTTGTAAGTCCATCACTGGAGTCCTCACTTTGGAAGACATTGATACTACTCAGTTGAGGCAAACTTCCCAAGCCCGATCAAGGGAACTAGTAGCAAAAGCCAGAATTTGCACTCGGGCAGTCTTCTTGTAATGATTTTGTTTTCCCCTTTACCACACTACTCACCAAGATCTGAGGAGACGCACTTCTAAGGAACTGTCCTTGAAACATTACCCTTTTGCTGTGTTTAACCACGTCTGTTGATGAAGAGTTAGAACTATCTTTTTTGTCTTTATAGGGACTAAATGGAAAAGATGGCTTCCCAGGTGCTCAGGTATGGAAAATACCATTTAAAACAAAAGTTCTAATGCATAACTTCATCCAAACACCTAACATTTAGATTGGTCAGATTGATGAACCCTCTCAGCAAGCAGTGATTTTGGTGTTTCCTTCTGTTTTTCAGGGCCTCATGGGGAAGCCTGGAGACAGAGGCCCCAAAGGAGAACGTGTAAGTATAGCACTATTGTCATTGCTTTTCAAATCTGTCTGTCACAAGTGAGCCACCATTTGGGTCGCCCAACTATGTACGTAGGCACCTACAAACCTCCCCTAATGATCAATTTTTTTTAATTTTATTTTTTTTGGTACTGGGAATCGAACTCAGGACCTTGCACTTGCCAGGCAGGTGCTTTGCTGCTGAGCTATATCCCCATCCCTACCTCCACCAATGGAAAAACAAAGCTCTCTGCAAGGCATAAAATATGAGCATTGGACAACCTGGAAGCAGGCCGTGTGATAAGGACACCTCCTGCTTGGCCTTTGGTCTTCTAGTTTGAAAAGTGTTTCTCACCCAATCTAAGTCACGTATGCTTCACTGAAGTTGTTTTTTGGTTTTTTCCTAGAGAGGTGTTTCTCACCTCAGCATTGTCAATATTTAGGGGCAGATAATATTTGTGTGCGGCGGGCCATCCTGTGTATTACAGAATGATTAGCAGCTTCCACCATCTGCTCTATGCGGTAGCAGCACCATCCTTCCTAAAAGGTTCTCAGACATCACCAAATGCCCGCTGGGGCACAAACTTGCCCTGGTTGGGAACCACTGACCTACAGGAATACTGAATAAGGAGGGTGGTATGGAAAAACAGAGGAACTGAACATGGAATGAGGTTATTCATAATGCCACCTGGGTAATACACTTACATTGAGTTGTTTGAGTTGCTGATAGTATATTTGAAATTTCCTAGTATTTTCTTTAATGAGCCTCAATACTTTCTAATGGAACTGGTATCATACCACTGCTACAGGTCTCTCACACATCGTTACTTGGCGTAATTCTATTCAGGAATGCTCTTGTGGGCAAGTGTGAGCACAGGTGTGTGTGTAAACTGGTGTCTACTTCACTGGCTTTTTATTATGACACAAGTAATCCATGGTAGCTGAAGGAAATATTAAAAATGAAATATAAATTTAAAAAGAAAAATATCTGCTTTGTCTCCTTACATAGAAACAAACACTATTGATATTTTAGATCTATTTCCCTCTCTCTCATTCTTATACATAATACACACACATACACACACACACACACACACAGGTATCACTGCAAAGAAATACATAGTTTTTAAAAAATAGGTCCATGGTGTTTTGTAAATAACATTTCATCAAACGATATATAAAAACTATCTGTCTCTGTCAGTAAATATACATCTACATCTACCTATTAATGGCTATGACTTATTTCACTACTTGGATATGCTTTATTCTACTAACCTAGTCTCTGTTTTCTGATCAGTTTCTTAGTTTTCACAATAATAAATATCACTGTCTAAACATCTGTGTACCTAACACATAAAATTATTAGGAATTATATTTATTTTGTACATGTATTTTTTGTTGATCAAAGTGCACTAGTATTTTTAATTATCTCAGAAATTACTCCCAATGTGACCTGGTTAGATTTGCCTATGTATAGATATTAAAAAATAAATTCAAGACAACTATAGTCTGGCCAATAACCAAGTAACTACAAGTAAAGTAATACAACAAAAAAACAGGGCACCCTCAAGCACAATCCTATCATAGTTGGTGTGAACATCACCTCCTGGTGCTATGAGACTGCATATTTGAAACTGTATAACAGGCACTTGCCATAATCTCTTCCTGTCCCTCTGTCAGCCACACACATCCCGTAGTAGACACATCGCACAATGAAGACAGCGTTAAAGAGACTTCACTGTCAGATTCAGGCACATCAACTACAGTTTCCTTCCTAATTCTGATATTTTACTCAACAATTCCTCTTATAGTTCACTTGTGATATTGAGTTAGCTGTCCAAGTGCCATCCCTCCACTTCAGCTCTGAACCTTTCAAAGGCTGGCCTCACCTTCCTGAGTTATTTATATTTATGAAACTGAACGCATACACATGCAAAAGTCAGGTACAGGAAACAAACCCAAACCATCTAATAAAGACCAGACAAACCAGGGCACTTCAGGAAGGAGGAAAAAAGGTACCTGACCTAGAAAAGGCTTTGAGGGTCCCTAAAGTTTTTCTACAAGGAAAATCTCAGTGGCAAGATCATTAGGGCAATTTTCCTTTATTATTACAAACAAGATCCAGACCTCAAGTGACAGCTATGTTGACTTTTAAAGGTGCCACCCTTCAGACTGACAGCAAAGCATGATCCTGACTGGGTATCATTGATCTAGAGCACTGATGGCGAACCTTTTAGACACGAGTGCCCAAAACCCACTTACTACTTTCTCACCAAGTGCCAACACCGCAATCAAACCTGAATACTGAGGTTTTAGCCTAGAAGAAACAACTGTTATCTGATGCTCAGCTGCTGGGACTCATGTGCCAATGGAGAGAGCTCTGAGTGCCCACTGTAGCACATGTACCATAATTTCACTGCCACTGATCTAGAGAGTGCTTCCAAGGTGCCAGGCAGTGTACTACTAAATGAATTTATTTGAGAATCACTTAGTAGATACTACTGTATTAATATCCCCCCTTTACAAAAGAGAAAGCTGGAGATAGAGAGTTTAATGTACTTATCTAAGGTCCCACAGCAAATAAGTGGCAGTATGAATCCAGAACCTTTGCTCTTAACCATAACTGATCCTTTTCTAGAAAAGATCATCCCTTATCTTTTTTCTCCATAACAGGGTGATCAGGGAATTCCAGGAGACAGAGGCCCACAAGGTGAAAGAGGAAAACCAGGCTTTATGGGCACGAAAGGAGCCATAGGTCCTGTGGGGCCTCCAGGAAGCAAGGGCTCTATCGGATCACCTGGCCACCAAGGCCCACCAGGACCCCCAGGCCTCCCTGGTGCTCCGGTAAGTGGTGCTGAGATCTTGTGCTGCTTGTGTACTCCTTTTACAGTGAAAGGAACAATAACACTTTTAAAATACTTAAATACCTATACCTAAACTGTTCTCTGTTATTATCTAAAAGTATGTGTGCCAGATTCTCCCTAAGCACTTAATATACATTATCCTTTTTGATCTTCATAACCAGTCTGGGAGGACAGGTGTCATTTCAGTACCTCTTTCATAAGTGTAAAAACTCAACCCAAAAATTCTGCCCAAGATCAGAGAATCATTTGGTGGGTCAAAGCCAGGTCCCAAACCATGCTTTCAAAATACTCTCTATAATGTTGCCTTACACTACATACAAACCACATATGTTTGATTCACGTGGGAACTCTATTGTGTTGACTGTCAGGACCAGAAGTCTGTCCTGAATAGGGCTTTGAAGTAGGGACCATGTAGGCCCAAAAAGAATTTTCAAAGAAACTAATATCTATTTAGAGTCTCAGGCCTAGTGGGTAGCTGTTCCACAGAGGAGTTTAATCTAAAAATGACCAAGACAGGAGGAAAGAAGGATCCTGGAGTGAGTAGGAGAATTAAAGACATACTTTCCTCAGACTGATGCCAGATACAGTATAGGAATATAAGGCATTCATACAATCCACATACTTTTTTATTGTGACCCAACCTCCCTAAACTCTACTTTAATAAAGTCTATATTAATATCAGATACAGTGAAAAGCAATGGAACATTCCTGTAATTCTCATACAATACTACTTTATTTTGACCCAGTCTCTCTCAACTTAAAATAAGGCCTATGTACTACAAACTCCTGGTTTTGTGTCAGCAGTTAGTATTAATTACATTAGTTCAAATTCATTTGTCATTCGCAGTGAAAATAATGAAATTGGGCATTCTTTTTTCATTTCTTTTTGTTGTTATTGTTAAGAGACATGAGAAAGATTTATTAGAGATTTAGGACACATTTAAGAGGGCAGGTGTTCAGAGAAATGAGATGACTGTAGGAACTGGAGACATTGATACTTTTCTTGAGGGTGTAGAAAGCCAATTGGGCATGTTTGGAACCATTCTGTCCAACAGAAATCACTTGTCAGCAAATTACATGGTCTTTTATTCTAAACGAGTTACTGGTCTAAAAGAACTAGTACCATAATGTTGGGAAACCCACAACAATATTATAATCACATGCCCAGCCACAGAATGGAAACAGGATGAAGGAATTTGTTGGGAAGAATGACGAGGGAACCTACCACAACAGGGACTTTTATAAGTTAAAGCTTACTGTCTAATTGTAGAGAAGAGTTGAGGCATGGTCTATCCTGAAAATCATATTGCACGGTGATTTCCATAGAGCTTCTGTGTTAGGCACTTTTCCATTGCTGGGATAAAATACATACCTGACATTGCAACCTGGCTTACGGTTTCAGAGGGTTCAGTCCACAGTTGTCTGGCTCCAAGGCAGAAATGGCATGGCAGAAGGGCATGTAGAAGAAAGCTATTCAACTAATGGCAGCCAGGAAGTGGAGAGAGAAGGAAGGAGCCTGGAACCAGACTATACTCTTCTAGGTCATACCACTAGTGAACCACATCTTCTACCTGGTCCCCACCTGCTAGCAGCACATTCAGCTATAAACCCTTGTGAGTTAATCCATTTATGAGTATAGTGTTTCCATGATCCAATCCCCTTCCCAAAGCCCCGCCTTTTCAGCACAAGAGATTTTTGGAGGGACAGCTTAGCTCTGAATTAGAACAGCTTTGAAGTCTTATCTAACAACACACAATTACAGTCTTTGTTCATGCACACATCTCAAAGTAGAGGCCTGGCAAAGGGGATGATTCCCTGTCACAACTTTGAGTTATATTACACTGGACATGGCATATTTATATACCTAGATAATAACTAAAAGGAATAAATACAATAGCTAAATAGAAAGAATAACTTTAAAATCCAACCCTTTGGAAATATCAAGATAAGGTAGTAAAACATTGTAAATGTTAGTTTTTTGGTAAATGTATACAGTTTTAAGTGCTAAGGAGTTAATAGTTCCACTAATGCCATTCAAGTACTTCCTTTTACTGGATCTCACAGGCTTTTTTCTAGAAAGAAAATTGCTTTGTGATTATAATGCATAAATTAGACAATAAATTTTGTAATGAAATGAGAAAAATTGTGAGTTTTACTTCACAAATAAAATATCCTAAGGAATACTCCAGCATGCTTGGAGTTACCTCGGAGCTTCCCTTCTTCCTCTGAGGATACATATCAGATAGGGACTTTGCCAGTGTTAAGGGATTAGTTGGAAGTTAAACTTGTGATTAGGATACTAGCATCATGACAACAGTGTTTGAGCTCTTTAATGTTAAAAATGAAGCAACATGAACTGTTTAACTGTATGAAACCATGTCTCTCCATTAACAGGAGATATATTAACATTAGAATTAGATTAGAATTTCATCACTCAGCATTTAAAGCAATTACACACTTCAGCTTATTCTCCTTATTTGATCAAAAGATACTTATTGCCCAGTAGCCAATTTCCAAAAACATTTTGTTTGATAAACGTACCACTACAGAAGTTTCAAATATGCACACCAACCATTCATTTGCACTATCCTGTATCATAACAGACTATTCTTTTTCTTTCATTAGGCTGATGCTGTTTCATTTGAAGAAATAAAGAAGTATATTAATCAAGAGGTCCTAAGGATTTTTGAAGGTTAGGTTTGGTTTATAACATTTTAAAATTTTTCTGATCCCCATCTCTCACCCACTGTGAAATCCCCTCAGCAACTTTCTTGAAAACTCACTGAGCATCAACCTCCAGAGGCAATCCGTTCTATGATAGGGCTTCTGTTTGACAGAAATTCTTCCATACATTAAGTTAAATGTGCCTCACTGAAACTTCCTCTAATCAGCCCAGGTTTGTAAAACAGCAGAGAGAAAGTGTCTTCCATTTATCTGACCACCTTTCCAGCACTTTTCAGTATCGATCATAATCTTCCTTATGTTTCTGTTCTTCGGAATAAGAAGGTCTAGCTCAGTGATGCTGAACCTTTTAGACACACGTGCCCAAATTTATTCATAGCAAAGTGCCTGAATACTGAGGTTTTAGTTTAGAAAAAGACAATTCGTACATTAACATGTTTTGTCTTAACAGAAAAATAACACACATGCATATTGTTCACCACCACTGGCCTAGCTCCTCTCTCTGGCTGCCCTTTGGGAAATTCTTACTTTATAAATAGCCCTCATTCACTCATAAGCATTGTGAAAAGGGCAGATTACACTGTCCTTTTGACCTAGCCAGGGTCAGCATGCTGGTCTACCAGCCAAACTCACCTGTCATCTATTTTTATATGGCTCTCAACTATGATTTTTACATGTTTCTACATTTTTTTCCTAGCTTCAAATGGTTTTAAAAATTAAAAGAATATCTCATGACTGTAAGGTTTTTTTTTCTTTTGGAACAAGTGAGAGATAGAACAAAGATAAAAGAAGCCTTTATTGTGGGCACAGGAGGACTGCAGAAGAATACAAGGACCCTCTGAAGGGGGAAGGCAGGGAGACACAGGTTTTATTGAGCTGGGTTGGGCGTGGGGTTTACATGGGCAGTCAAGGGTCATCGCAAATGCTGACTGGGGAAGAGTTGGTGCACTCATGAAAAGAAAAGAGGAAACTGAGGTAAGGCTGGGGAAAGAAGGAGACAGGAAGTTGGTTTGGGAGTGACACGTTGTGGTTTTGTGTCCCGCACTGTGCAGGATCACTCCCATGATGACTTGGCAGAATTTTGTATAGGCTGAAACCCATCAATGACATGTGAAAATGACCTAAAATTCAAGTTTGTCTGTGTAAATAAAGCACTACTGGATCATCAGCCATTTTCTTTCCTTTACATCTTTTCTCTGGCTGCTTCTATGCTACAGTGGCAGAATCAAGACGTTATGCCAGAGACTGTATATCCAGCAAAGCATATTTATTATCTGGCCCTTTGAGGAGTAAATGTTCTGATCCCTACTCTAGATACTTTGATAATTAAGCTGAAGAAATATTGCATTCCCTGCTAGCCCCAAGCAGTCATTGAAATACTCTCAACTCATTGTGAGCTTTTAATTAACTAACAACTCTAGGTTTTCCTTACTTAAACTTTTTCAACTTAAGTGCTTCTCATTGTGGATGGTGTATTTAGTTTGAAAATCTGAGTATGTTGTGTTTGTTTTTATTAAATTTCAAGTGATTTATGTTCCAACTTGATGAGTTTTTTTAGAAAACTCTTGTAGGGCAAGTTGACTCTCATAACTTTGCACTGTCTCTAAATTTCATAAGCATGTTATCATTCTAGTTATGAATAGAAATGCAGAACTAAGAAGTCAAGAGTCAAGGTTAGGCCTTTCTAAATGACATTGGATTTCTTCTACCCACTTATAAATCAGTTAGTCTATTGTTTAGATAACTTTAGTTGCTGCAAAATCTACTGTACATTTCTTTGTCTATTCACAAAAATGTCACATTATTTTTTCAAATGATTTGCTAGAAGTCAAGATCCTTCTCCTCAACAGTAAGGTTAAGACAGTGGAAATTATTTGTCTTTAGCAAATAAACCTAAATTGGTGCTCGTTATTTCTACTTCTTTTGTTAAACATCACAGACAAAAAATATATTATTGGAAATTGTAAGGAAAAAGATTACAGTATTCCCCAAGTCCATCTTAACTCTTTTCTGCTCCAGACATGGAACTGAGACTTTCCAAGAAGTCCTTCTTCCTGAGAATTGGTATTAGTGACCAAAACTCATTGTTTAGATTCTTATTCTCTTGTTTCACACTAGCACTGGAGAAGCAATTGTACTGCCACTTCTATCTGCTTCAGTAACAGAACAGGATGAAAAGGCTTATAAGACCATGAATCCATGTTGTAGACTTAAGTTTACTTTGATCTTTACTAAGCATCTTTACCTAGCCCTGAAGATAATTTTTCATCTTTCTTGAGCTAGCTACCAGTTTTTGCTTTGTGATTTTAATGTTGTGCTTAAATTTAGAAATCTCCTTTTATTTTCATTTCATGACTCTTGAATCCAGCATTATGGACTAGGTTGTAACTTTGACAGTCTAAACATTCCTTTCCTCAACAAGCATCCCTCAAATACCAATTGTCTGGAAAAAAAAAGACAAAACCTTTCAGATCTCTCAAGCTCTGCAAGAGAACACAGAAGACTCTTTATGAAACTGGAAAACTGGCAAGCCTCAATGAAAAACAAAGATGTTAAATTATTAACACATTTAAGACAGGGTGCAGGCAACATGACTGAACAGAGGTACCCAGCACACACCTGCTCCCCCACAAAAGCAATCAAAGCAACAGGTATATAACTGCATATTGAAGTGAGGAAGTGCAAGGGAATGTTGGGATTCAATAGCAGAGAAGCAGAAACCTGGTTAAAAAAAAAAAAAGCAGAGTCCTGGGACAGCTGCACAGCTAGAAAAAGATTATCCTATCATCTGCTACCCAAAGAGTCTCCCCTCCACAAGGGTAAAGATAACAGAGTCCCAGGAAACTCCATCAGTTCAGATACTGACCATCCTAGCTACTGGAAAGTTTTGCAGTCTTTTCAGGCTTACAGTCTAAGTATATAAGAGGCCTGAAATCTGACTGAAATCTATTATTCAATGAAATAACTGCAGAAAACTTCCCAAATTTTGAGAAAGACATGCACATTCAAATACAGGAGGCCTACAGAAATAAAAATAGATATAACTAGCAGATCCTCACTCTGATACAGATAAGTCTAGTTGTCAAAGTACAAGGTAAAGAAAATTTTAAAACTGTAAGAGAAAAATCATCAAGTCACATTTAAGGGAAACCCCATTAGACTAATAGCAGATTTAGCAAAACCCTATAGGTCAAGAGAGCACGGGACAATGTTTTTCAAATCCTGCAGGAAAATAACTTATATCCAGCATTACTCTACCTAGAAGGACATCTTTCATAATAAATATGAGGGGAAAAAAACCTTCCAAGATTAGCAAAAACTAAGAAATATCATGATCACTCAATCAGCCTTAAGGGAGTCCTATACCCAAAAGTGGAAGAAGGATAACTCATAACAACACGTGAAAGTATAAATCCCACTAGATGACAGATATACAAATGGAAAATAGAAAAGAATCAAACTTTATCAACGTCATGAACCACCAACCACAAGGTGAACAAGAGGTTTGAACAAAAAATATAACAGGGGCTGGGGATTTAGCTCAGTGGTACAGCGCCTGCCTGGCAAGCGTGAGGTCATAAGTTCGATTCCTGGTACCAGAAAAAAAAAAAAAAAAAATAACAACAACAAAAAAATATAACAGAAGAAAAAATCAAAATAACAAGCACAAATTCATACCTTTCATTAATTTTAATATAAAATATAAATTGAATATGTAGTGCCCTAGTTCTCCAGTTAAAAGATACAGACCTGCTGAATAATTGAAAACTAAGGCCCAATTTAATATGTTGCCTACAAGAAACTCACCTCACTCGCAAAAACAGACATAGAGCCAGACAGATACACACACACACACACACACAGAGAGAGAGAGAGAGAGAGGAAGTAAAAGTATTGAAAATAATATTCTAAGGAAATGGAATTTTGAAAATACAAGCAGAAATACCTATGCTTATATCTGACAAAAATAGATTTAAATTTAAGACAAAAACAGTAGGTCACTATATAATGATCAAGGGATTAATTCATCAAGGTATAATGATCATAAATCTATATGTACCTAAAAACAGAACACTCAACTTTTAAAACTAAGCACTAATATACCCAAAAAGACATATAGGCTCCAATACCATAAAAGATGGGGAAGTTAATTATTCCTTCTCAGAAGGAAGTCAGTTAGTCCTGTTTGCAAATAATGATTCTATACATAGAAAAACCTAAAAACATCCTCAAAGGACTGTGAGAACAGACAAAATAATTCAATGACGTACCAGGATACAAAATTAACATTGAAAGTCAGTGGTTTTTCAATATGTCAACAATGAATTTGCCAAGGAATTATGAAAGCAAGCTCATTTATGGTAGTCACAAAACAACTTTGGAATACATTCAACTAAGGAAATAGACTACAGATTACACTAAAAGGTGAAGCAGCGCTCCTATGTTCATAGATTAGAAGAATTAATACTGTTAATATGTCCCCACTACACAAAATGACCTACAAACTCCACGCAACTTTTCTGAAAATACCAGAAAATACAACCAAACCTTCACAGAAGAAAAGAAAGTGTTGCACTATAGGAGATGTTCATTGTGCAGGCCCACACACCCTGACCAAGGCCTGGCCCGGCAGCCTGTGTGCATTGAGCAAGGGGGATGCTGCTGTCTCCTGGGAGGGCCACACCTGCCCTCTGCCACATCATTCTGCAAGGGACTGGGCCTTTCCCCTTGCCTTGCACCAAACTCACTCGGTGTGCAGTGCCAGAGCAGCTCCTCCTCTCAGCCTGCATTCCTTCCTCCCCTCAGTTACTCCCTGCCTAAAGCTGATGGGCTTGGGCTACCCAAGTCTTCTCAAGCTTCAGTCCCTCTCTCCCCTGTCCCAGCCTGGCAGGGCCCAGGGATGTGGCCGGACATCTCAGGAACCATAGCTCCTGAGCCACAGATGCCTAATCCTCAACACAGGACTCCAAAGGACTCAAAAAGAACTTTTTTCCCTGAAACTGATACTCC